TTTGACCACAATGAAAAACATTTTGCTACATAATGGGGATTCTGAAAAGAAGACCTCAGTTTACTTCTGCACCTGTCAGTTTCTGAACTGAGAAAACAATCCTCAACATGAACTATATTAATTGCAGCACTGTTATTAGACTTTGTCAACTAAGATTTACATTTTAATTCATTTGATAATACACAAAGTAATATACCATCTTCAATGAGGATTATGAACTCTGGATGTTTCAATATGCAAAATGCAAATTTGAAAGGGCAAAATGCAAATTTGCAAGAGAAAAATTTTGTACGTATTTTCTGGGCTTATTAATTTTTTTCTGGGCTTATTAATCTTAGTGCAGAATGATGTTTTTCTTTTTTTCTGTAGCCTGGATGTACCTCAGATAAGAAATGTTCAGATTCATTTCTTATAGGACTTTATCATGTCCGAACAAATAAAATCTTAGCAATATCAGATACACTATTATAAAAATGTCCTGTAATTAGACATCACGATCTATGAATAATTAAACCTTGCGGAGAGACAGCACAACAAAACCACACAAGTTGTAAGGTAGCTTTTTGGCTTCTTTTCATATATCCCATAATAGTTGTATATTAAGATGACAATATTTAAGAAAAATAACCAAAGAACAATACTCTGATAGGCTAAGATGTCACTGATACTGACTATATTTTTAAAAAGATGTCGTGTAATTAAGTCATCCAAAAACTTTATTAATAATGTTAACTGTTGTTTTTATGATGTTTGAAAGTAATATAGGTAATTAAAAAATTAAGGCCAGTTGAACCTTAGACTTCATATTGATCTCAGTCATATTTTGTAGCACCACCTCTTCTGCCTCAGTCTTTTAATTTTTATGTTGTTAGCATCATTTATTTTTTAAAATTGATATATAATAGTTTTACATATTTATGGGATACATGTGAAATTTTCATGTGAATACAATCAATATGTAATGATCAAATCAGGCTATTCATAATACCTATTACCTTAAAAATTTATTATTTATTTGTGTTGGGAACATTTTAAATCTTCTCTTCTAGCTATTTTGAAATATACAATAAATTATTATGGCTAACTATAGTCACCCTATTGTGTTATCAAACATTAGAACTTATTTCTTCTATCTAACTGTGTTTATAGCCATTAACCCTGCCCCTCTTCATCCGCCTTTCCTCACTCCCTTCCCAGCCTCTGGTAAGCATCGTTCTACTCCCATCCTCCAGGAGATCTACTTTTTAAACTCCCGCATATGAGTAAGAACATGAAATATTTGTCTTTCCGTGCCTTATTCATTTCATTTAACATAATGACCTCAAGGTCATGTTGCTGCAAATTACAGGATTTCATTCTTTTTATGGATGAAAAGTATTAGATTGTGTATCATTCACTTTTATAATTCATCATTCCCTGCTCAATTATCCTATACCTCTCAATTCATTCTTCTTTCTAGAAACTCTTATTTGTGATGTAATTATTGGCTTAGGTGCTTATCCCTCTTCCCCCTTTCAAAACATAAGTTATTTGAAGCAAAACTATGTTAGTCCGTTTTCACACTGCTGATAAAGACATACCTGGGACTGGGAAGAAAAAAAAGGCTTAATTGAACTTACAGTTTCACATGGCTGGGGAAGCCTCAGAATCATGGTAAGAGGTGAAGGTCATTTCTTACATGATGCTGACCAGAAAAAATGAGGAAGATGCAAAAGCAGACACCACTGATAAAACCATCAGATCTTGTGAGACTTATTCACTACCATGAGAACAGTATGGAGGAAAGTGCCCTCATGATTCAAATGATCTAGCACCACATCCCTCCCACAACGTGTGGGAATAATGGGAGTATAGTCCAAGATGAGATTTGGGTGGCGACACAGAGCCAAACCATATTAAGGGCTCACAGATTATTACTCTTTGTACACACAAAATTTAGGGTAGTGTCTGAAACATGGTAGTTGATTCAAGCAAAAAAGAATTAATATGTTTAAATATTCTACAATATGCCCACCTCAAATGCATAAAAAAGATACTAAATGATGTTTTTATATATTTTTTTCTAAGGCCCTGAGCTCTTAAGTTCACCCAAGGGAAGTAATCTAATTTCTAAAAGGGACATAAAGTAACACTGACATAAAGTAACTGGATATGTGAGGCTGTCACTAGATATAATAGATTGGCCACCATGGTGCTGGGTTTAAGTAATCCAGGCTATATTGTTAAGATGGCTTTATCAATCTTTCTTCGAAAAGCTGGAACAAATCTTGGACTATTGCTTCTCTTAGTGCATGCTGTTTACAAAACTGCAATAACTAGAGTGAACTTTGTTTCTCTGGATAGACCAGAGTATAGCCATGGCCTATCCCTGGGTTCCTGATTTGCTTTTTTGCCATGTAACCTGGAGAGGAAATAGGATGAAGAACTTCAGAATCCAGTTGAGTTGATGAAAGGTTGTGGTTCAGGAGTTAAATGGCCTCAAATTCCTCCACTGAATAATTAATTAATAATTATTACTGGCACTTACTTATGCCAAGCTCTGGAAAAGATTCTGAGTGATAGCAAATATCTTTTCTCTTCTCCCTTGTTAGTGATCTTTTATGTTTCTTCTTTTTCTTTACCTCTTCACTCTTATTTAGGGGTTTATTCCACATTCCTCCTGGTTCTTGTTTCAGTTCAATTTCTTCTCTTGAGCTAAACAGAATGAAAGAAATAATGCCATTTTATCTTATTTTCCATTTTATTTCAAAGAAAATTAAAACATGATCAAATTATGTTTCTGAAAATTTGCTGTTGCCCTTAATATGTTCTGAAAAATAAATATACACCTAAATGTTTTACAATGATTTCATTCTTGGGTCCAATTTCGTTTCTCAGCAAAAGACCCAAATTTCCACTGTCATCCTATGCCATTCCTTCTAAAGTTTATCACCAGACATAATTGAACCCACCAGGCCTCTAACTCACATGTAGTGAGTACTCAACACATATTTTTATGGACATCTTAGAAACGGATTATGGTTGGCTGAGTACAGGTAAAGGTAATAGGGTGTAGGTTCATGCTTACAAATGTCTTGTTAGAAATTCCCAGAGAGTCAGGAATTTGCTTTTTAGAGAGAATTTTAAATTGATGTAAATTCTAGGCACCTTTTACATCAATCAAGGCTAACTATTGAAAGATAAGGACTGGGTAGCACATGGTGCTGACCTCTTCAGAAGAGTTCAGTTGAAGAAGGGAGAAATCCTATGCCTGTAGACTTCCTGAGTGGAGAAAACCCAAGAGATCAGAGGTTGTTTGGGACCCTGAGTTACCCATAAAAATGGCTGACCGATAAAATAAAATGCATCAGAAAAGTGACCCATTGGAATGAACACTCTAGTATCCAAAATGTGTTAATGACAGGATTTGCAGATGCATAAGATGAAGGTAGTCTGGGCAGGAGCTGCTTTCTGATTGATATGTCTCTAGCTGATATGTTGTACACATGGTGGTAGTTCAAAGTCTATTAAATTGTCTATAAAACCTTGCTGAGTCCAGGCTACTGTGCTACCTCTATCTATTTCTCTAGATTTAAATCTCAAGATTTGTGCTCTGAAACCTTACATGGTTGGGATTTGGTCTTATTTTAACCATTAATCAATTTCTCCTTTCTTTTCTGCATGTAATCTTCTCACAGTTTTATGGAAGATTTTTGCAAGTATTGCAATGACAGTGTATTACCTTGTATTTATACCATTTGGTTGTATCTTCTCATGCTGTCTGTGGGATTGCCCAGGAGATTTACTGGCAAATGGAACATTTACAAGCCTCATGGATGCATATGCTGAAAGTGTTTGCACATTGAGACTCACCCCCTTTCTGTTCTTGGAACTGTGATGCTATTTCTGGAAAACTAAGCCCCAGTCAACTCCCAGACATGTGAAATACCATTATTGATAATACAGCCACCAGCCACCTCGTCAGATGAATGCAGTGCTTGAGAGAACTCAGTAGACAAGCTTAGCCAGCCCAGATCAGAAGAACCAGCTAAGCAACCTTCAGAATCGTGAGCTAAAGAAATGCTTGTTATTTTGAGTAACTACATTTGGGGATGATTTGCTTTATAGCAAGAACTGACAGAGAAAGTGATACCTAGACTCGAGTGCCTCCGTAATAACAAAATAAAACATGCGAAATTAGCTTTAGGACCATGCAGTGGGCAGAAGTTATAAGACGTTTGTGAAATCTGGAAAATTGGCAAGGAAATTATTAGTAGAGGATAGAAAGATTGTGCTACATGTTATGTAAGATTACAAAGCAATGATCAAACTCTTTCCTGGAGTAATTTGGAAGATAAAAAATGTGGATCATGGCAAGATAATTTTCAAGAACCCTTTAAAATGCTATTGGCTTCTTTTAGTTTTTTATGATAAGTTATAGGAAAAGGGAGATAAGCTAAAGAAAGAACTGATCAGTTTGCAAGCAGAGCTCATACAGAGAAGGCAGGGTGTGCTGGATTGGGAACATAACTGTTACTTTTGTGAAGTCTATCCAGCCAAAAAAAGATCCTCAGACTAAATTAAAACCTGAGGGTGTTTATCAAGATCAGGGCACTTCCAGTAAAACATTTCTTCTGTGTCAAGAAGAAATCAAGAACTTAAGAAAAATTTATGGTGATAACAGTAGACTTTCTCAACTAGACAAGGAGACTTCTAAAACTCTTAATAGCATTGCCTCATGGCAGCTTAACAAACTGCCCAAAGCAGAGAGAGGCCAGTTTTGAAAATAACTGTGGACATCACTTTTGTTAAATGATATATAGAAGGCCCATAACCTTTTTAAGGGAGTTATAGCAGCAAAGGGCAGCTAACCCAGAAAACAAAAAACAAACAAACACAACCTTGAGACAGTTCAAGTAAAGCCTCTATAAGGAACTTAAATCAACAAGCAAAAAACAAACAACTCCATTAAAAGGACAAAGGACATGAAAAGACACTTTAAAAGAAGACATAAACAGCCAGGAAGCATATTAAAAATGCTCAGTATCACTAATAATTAAAGAAATGCAAATCCAAACCATGTGAGATTCAATCTCACATTAGTCAGAATGACTGTCATAAAAAAGTCAAAAAATAACAGATGCTGGTGAGGTTGTGGAGAAAAAGGAATGTTTATACACTGCTGGTAATAATGTAAATTAATTTAGTCATTGTGGGAAGCAATTCGGTGATTTCTCGAATAACTAAAGGAATTATCATTGGACCTAGCAATCCCATTGTTGGGTATATACTCAAAGGAATATAAATTGTTCTTCCATAAAGACACATGCATGTGTATGTTAATTGCAGCTCTATTCCCAACAGCAAATATATGGAATCAACCTACCTGCTTTTCAAAGTAGACTGGATAAAGAAAATGTGGTACACATACACCACGGAATACTATGCAGCCACAAAATGGAATTAACTCATGTCCTTTGTGGGAGCATGGATGGAGCTGGAGGCCAGTATCAGAAGTGAACTAATACAGGAAAACAAAAACCACATGTTCTCGCTTATAAAAAGAAGCTAAAAATTGAGTACATGTGGTCACAAAAAAGGAACAATAGACTGAGGCCTACTTGAGGATAGAGGGAAGGAGAAGGATACGATCAAAAAACTATCTATTGGTTACTATGCTTATCACCTGGGTGACAAAATAACCTGCATATCAAACCCTCTGACATACATACAATTTACCTATACAATAAACCTGCACGTGTACTCCTGATCTAAATCATAAGATAAAATGAGTAAATAATTTATTAGAAGCCTCTAGACTATCAAATTTCTATTGGAAAAAGACTTAGAAAGCAACTCGATTGTCAGCCTGGACAATTTATTTTTTACAGAAAAATAAGAGTGCCTTGGAGGAGGGATACAAATTCCAGGGAGCATAGCAAAGAATCAGGGAGAAAAATGTCTAGGTATCCCCTCCAGTAAGCATAACAGAGTTCTAGTCAATAAATATTTTCTAACCCTTGGTGTAGGGCTTCAGGCAACATTTGCCCTGCCAGGTTTCAGAACTGTTATGGACCAATGATTACTATGGTTTTTTCTCTCTCTCTCTTTCTCTTTCTTAATAGGAGTGTTTATTGCAGTTGCTCTGACCTTGTCTCAATATTGTATTTTGGGTGAATTGGGATTCAAATAGCTTATCTTTTTAGTTGATATGTTTTGATCAAGAGGAATTGCAGCAGAGTTGTTCATTCCTGCCTGATCTGGATCAGAAGGTACTAGACTTTAAGCCTGATACGTTAAAGCCCTTTTATTTTTTCTTGCTCTTAGGAAGGAGAACAAGCCCCGTAATACAGGATACAAGGCTGTGAAAAATCTGCCCCTCAACAGCCACTCTGCGTTATTCTTCACCAATCTCCCCTCCCCCTCGCTGCTCCAGTAATGTTGCCTTCCATCTGGGTCTGTGGGGGGTCGGTCAGTTAGCCTGGTACATTCTTAATCAAGGTGATATACATTCATCTTTCAGGTTACCACATTACATCCTAATGAAACTTCCTAACAGGTCATGATGTTATGTTTCTTCTTACCCCTTCATTTATTTTTCTTTATAGGACTAAATATTGTATTCATACATTTAATTTGTGACTTCTAAAACAGGTCTTTCTTCTGGTAGATGACAAGGAAGTTGCTATGCTTATTTTAGCTCCCATTTTATTTCTAGAATTTTCCTACTATATGATTGAAGCTCAAAAATATATATTATATGACTCTATGAATAAACAAGTAAACGAACAAATAGAGCAGATTAATAGAAAATGATAGAAATAATAGAGTGTTAAATAGTATTGTCTAATTCTAGGATTGAAGGATAAGAAAAGGTAATTAGAACAACTTTAATTCCAAATTTCCCAGTATAAGTGGGAATTCCAAAATGAATCTTTTCTTTTTGCATACTATGAATGCCTCTGCTTTTAAAATATTATGCAATTTGTATTATTTTTCTAGATCACTTGTGCATAGAGGTAGCTGCATTTCTAGTATTAAAGAAAAGTTAGAATGATTGACAATGGTGCCCGATAATAAAGTTTTCAAGAAATGGTCTAGTATTAAACAAGTATGAACTTTACAGTGCATTTATACAAAATAATGAACAATTTTTTACATATTCACCCTACTCCCAAATACCACGTTTATTGCAACATTATGAGTAATTTTTTAAAAGTCAAATCTAGCATGCATCATTTGTTTGACAAATTTATGCCTCCAACACTTACCATCATTTCTCTTTTTAAAATTTATACTTAAAAAGATATGTGATATTTAAAAAAAAAAAGACTTGATAAACTTTCACAGAAACAGAATCTCTACAATTGTGGCTGCAGAGGAATTATTAATGTATTTTTCCTCATGAGCCACTGCTGTTTCATTTCCCTTTTAGTTGTGTTTGCCAGATTTGGTATCCTGCTGTTTGGATCTATAAAACAAGAGGCTGCATTTATGCAAAAGATTACTGAATGCTGGATAAATGAGTTGCCTGAAGGTTGATTGGTCTGGAAACTTATGTCTCAGAAGCCTTAAGAGCTCTCTCGGGACACTGACCTGGGAGTGCTAAGCAGTACTGCCTCTTTCTTTCTCAAGGACATCTTTCTATTAGGAAGATGAAACACTGAGTTGATGGTAGCAATGGATGGTTTTTAATCTTGCCTTGTAATCTACAAGAAACTGACATTATGTTTTAGTGACTTGATGAAGATGAAATAGGTGCTTTTTTGTGCAACACATTTGAATTTTTTAATTTGTGTGTTTTAATTCAATAGGTTTTGGGGGGACAGGTGGTGTTTTGTTACGTGGTTAAGTTTTTCAGCGGTGATTCCTGAGATTTTGGTGCACTGAACGCCTGAGCAATCGTACAATACATTTTCAAACTTAGCTTACACTGGGCAGTTTGGTAATATCTATCAAAGTTTCATAATCAAATACCCCATATCTTCATGTTTAAGAATATATCCTATACATATATTTTCACATATGCATAAGAACCTGTGGTCAGTGGCATTCATTACAGCATTGTTAATAGAAAAAAAATTAAACTTAACCTAACCAAAAATGTAACTGGTTTAGTAAATTATGGCATATTATTCAATTGAATACTATGTGATAATTTTAAATGAACATACTATATCTATAGGTACTTTTTATAGAGAGGTATACTGCTTCTCCACTTCATTGAGAGTTTCTATACATAGGGAATTTTTCCTCTAACAGTCTACATTGAACCCATGAATTATTCAGTAAACGCTGGATTAAGTGAATGATTCTAGTAAACGCCCGCAATTGTTAGAGTAACTTTTACCTCTAACAGTCACTGAGAGGTGAAATATAAATATATTCAGTAGCTTTATGAAAATTTCTAGATGTTCTAAATTGTTTTGGTTTACACTTACTCCTCCACATTTAGTTATGTCAGCAACTGATGAGTGGGAGATGGGCATTGACTAATGTTTCTCCAATTGGTAGAACCAATCTACCAGCTTGGACTCTTTAGTCCTTCTGCCTCCACTCAGACAGTGGGAGAGGTAAGTTGTAGAGTGTGTCTGCTCTGCATTTTTATCCAGTCAGCTGTTCCAAGGTCTCTACTGTGGAAGAGGAGATTAGCAAGCCCTTTGGTTCTCACTTTAAGCTAAGTCCTCTTACCTGTTCTTCGTCAGTACTAAAACCGATTTGTGGGTTCTCTATCTGGTGACCCTTTTCACATCTCAACTGGTCAAGAAGTCTACAGGAAGAAGAGTTATTTGTTTTGTTTTTTGAGTTTTTGTTTGTTTGTTTTTCTGAGACAGAAACTCGCTCTGCTGCCCAGGCTAGAGTGCAGTGGTGAGATTTTGGTTCACTTCAGCCTCTGTCTCCTGGGCTCAAGCCTGTTGCCCAGGCTGGAATGTATGTAATGGCATGATCATAGATCGGTGTGGCCTGGAACTCCTGGGTTCAAGCAATCCTTCTGCCTCAGTCTCCCAAAGTACTAGGATGACAGGCATGAGGCCCTGTGCTCAACCTATCTCATAATTTTAATTTAAAGTACACTGTGTTTCATTTGGTATATTTATGAACTCCAGATCACTCCACGTCATAGAATTTCCTTGGGGGCTAGAACAATCAATTCTTCTTAATTCTGCCATTTTCTAGTGGATGACCTTGGGCAACTTAACTCTCTTCATTTTTTGCATCTCTTAAATGAGGTAAAAAAAAATACCTCATAAGGTTATTATGAAGATTAAATAAAATATTTGACATACAGTATAATGCTTAGGTCCCATACTAAGTGCTCAATAATTCTTATCTATTTATGATTACTATCATATTTTCTATTCTAAAAATCAGTTTTATATTCGCCTAAGACCTTAAAACTGTAATATCCCTCTTATATATAGTAATAATAGTGTGAGATGTTGTTTTTGGACAATTATGTCAAGTAAACTGAATATTAACTAGAATATTTTCCATTTCTTAAATGGAAAGTTTCTTTTTTTAAATGGAAAGTTTCTTTTTTTAAATGGAAAGCTTCATAAAAGAAACTTTAGTGTATTGTAAACTCAAACCAGGCTGGAATAAATTTTATATAATTTTTCTTTCATAAGTCAGATTGATTAAACCAAAAAAAAAAAAAAGCTGAAAATATGTATTTTTTAGTCTTAGAGTGGTATTGGTGATAATGTAAGCTATATAATTGTTAAAGAATTGAGGCCAAAATATGAGTATTTTAAATAAAAATCTCTATTTGAATTCATTGTATTATTATGAGCATATAAATTGGTTGAAGTTTATAAGGAGCCAGTTGCTCTCCAGATACATGCTATGAATTTATTTTTCCAATTTAATATTATACACTATTTACATTTCTGAAGTTTGTGGTGGGGAGGTGATTATGTTATTATGGCTGTTATTTTATCCCTAAAATGGCATAGTAGAACTATAAAAATATTAGGCACTTGAAGTCTTCAGTTTTTACTCTCAATATTATTATATGTGTAAGCTTATATGTTTATTATTTTCATTCATGACTCATTTTGAAATTATTCCTTGGTTACAATTTCTATTGAATTTGATATGTCAGCCATTCATTTAATTTTTAATTGATGTTTACTGTTTCTTCTTAATATTCATTTTATGACTAGTTCTCTCTATGACCTAGAAGAGATATAATTTTTGTCAATACTTTATTGAGACATAAATTACATGCAGTAAAGTGCCAAATTTTAGATATAATGATCAGTGAATTTTATCAAATGTATATATGTGTGTAATTCTCTTCCAGATAAAATATATAGAAGATAGTAAACATCACAGAAGTCTCACGTCTGTTCCCTCTTGATTACAGCTAGTGCTCGACTTATAACCACGATTGGTTCCGACAGACCAGTGGTAACATGATTTGGTCGTAAGTTGAGTAGGCTATATGCACGCGGAGATGGTAGTGCTGCCGGAAGCTGGTCCGCACTGTCATACGCCCAGCTGGGCAACATTTGCGCTGCCAGACGTGGAGCAGTTGTGGCTAGCGATTGTGGTCGTAAAGTCGAATGGTCATAAGTTGCATAGGTCGTAAGTCGATCAATACCTGTACTATATTGAATATTAGATTTGTCTGTTTTAAAACTTCATGTTTAATGAATCATACAGTATGTTCTATATTGTGTGTAATTTTTTCTTTTGCTCAACATCATGTTTATTAGATTCAAGTTGCTGTATGACACATATTTATTCCTTTTTCATTGTTAGTTTTCCATTTTATGAATATAAATAGCATATTTCTCCAATTTACTTTTGATAGCTTTTTCCAGTTCTTGGCTATGAACAAAGCTGCCGTGAACATTTTTAAAATATATTTTTGGTGCAAATATGTTCGGTACATACATTGTAGTATAATTACTGAGTCACAGGGTATGCTTTCGTTCAGCTTTAGTAGACATTCCTAAATACATTTTCAAAGTGATTATAACTAATGTATATTCCCACTGATAATGTATAAAAGTTTCATTTGCTTCACATTCTCAGAAATACTTGGTATTGTTATTCTGAAGAATGAGTGGTGGAATCTTATTTTTTCATTGGTTTCATATTATTTTGAATTGTTTTATAATTTTATTGACATTTGATTTATGTACTATGCACTTAACCTATTGTAAATGTATGTTTCAACAATTTTTAGTAAATGTATGTGGTATTGAAACAAACCTCAACAATTTCAGTTTGAGAATACTTTCATAGCCCCCCAAATATCACACATGCCTGTATGTATTCCATCCTTTCTCTTACCTAAAACTCAGATAGGCTTTCTGCCTTTATAATTTTATTGTTCTCAAAATTTTATTTAAATAAAATCATACAACATGAAGGCTTTTGTGTCTGTACTTCACTTGGCATAATACTTTGAGGTATACCCACATTATTTTGTTTTCTGTGTACTATTCCACTGTATGTTTATACGACATTGTTTACACACCCACCAGTTGGTGGACATTTAGACTGTTTTCAGCTTTTGGCAATTAAAAACAATGCTGCTCTGAACATTCATATGCAAGTCTCTATGTGGAGATGGGTATTTATTTCTTTTGGGTTGATACCTAGGAGTGGAATTGCTGGGCCGTATGGCGTATTAGCTTTTAATTGCTGTGTAACAAATCACCACAAACTTAGTGATTTAAATCAGCACCTATTTATTTTCTCATAATTCTGCAGGTCAGAAGTCCAGGCAGCCTTAACTGGGCTCTCTGCTTAGGGTCTCAGAAGCTGAAGTCAAGGTGTGGGCCATCTGGGCTCTCAAACAGAAACTCTGGGGAAGAATACTTCCCAAGAATCATTTGTTCAATATTGGTGGAATCCAGTGTCTTGTAGTTGTAGAACTGAGGCTCTCATTTCCTTGCTGGGAGGTGTTTTCAGCTTCTAGAGGCATCTCACATAATTTATCAGGCAAGCCAGCAATGGAGCAGCTTTGTTTCAGATTTCTGTGAATTTCTCCTTTTCTACCAGCTGGAGGAAATGCTCTGCTTTTAAGGGCTGGTGTTATTAAAATGGACCCAACTACATAACCCCCCTTAGACTTCAAGTCAACTGATTAGTACCCTTACTTACAACCATAAAAATCCCTTTTAATATTATAACCTAACATTATTACAGCTACAATATTTTATTATATTCACAATCCTGAGGTTGTCAGGCAAGAAATCTTGGGGACTAGTTTTTAATTCTAACAATGAAATATGGCAACATATGCTAATTTATTTTTAAAACTTTCTTATTGTTTCATAAAGCAACTGTGGTGTATTACCACAATTATACTGTCATTTTATGAAGCTTTCAGATTTTCCATATCTTCATGAAAATGTGGTATTGTCAGTTTTATAATGCCCATTACATTATGCATGCAGTTGTATTTCATTGTATCTTAATTTTCATTTTATTAATGGCTAAGTATGTTAAACTTACTCTCAGGTGATTACTAGCCATTTATATTCTTCAGTGAAATGTCTATTTAAATATTTTGCCAAATTTTAAATGTTTTTTTTGAATTGAGTCATAAGATTCTTATATTTTCTGGATTCAAGTTATCTGGAAAAGGATTTATAAATATATTCTATGATTTTGTGGCTTGTATTTTTACTTAATGATGACTTTGAGGAGCTAAAGTTTTTACTGTTGATAGAATCCAATCTTTTTTTTTAATGGCGCATGCTTTTGATGTCAGGTGTAAGAAATCATTGACAAACCAAAGGTCATAAAGATTTTCTTCTAAAGGTTTTATATTTTTAGCTCTTACATTTAAAACTATGATCCATTTTGAGTTAATTTTTGTGTGTGATGTGCAGTAAAGGCCTGTTTTAGTTTTCTATTGCTGCATTAAATTAAATTAAAAACTTTGGGATTTAAAATAGTACACACTTATCTCACAATTTCCTTGGGTTCAGAGTCTGGGCACAGCATCGTTGGGTCCTCTGCTCAGGATCTCACAAGGATACAACCAAGGTGTCAGTCAGGCTGCATTCTCATCTGCAGAACTAACTGGAGAAACCAGAAAGAGTCCCTTCCAAACTTATTCAGATTGTTGGCAGAATTCATTTCCTTATGTCTGTGTGACTGAGAACACAGGATTTTTTTTCAGTTGCCTGCTGAGGCTGACAGTTCCTTGCCATGTGGGTTTCCTCAACATGGAGGGAAACTAAATCAAGTCAGCAAGGAGAGTCTCTCATGCCAGTTTGTTGGGACAGAATCTTATATAACATAATGTAATTATGGGCATGATTTCCCATCACTATTGCCATATGACATCCCATTACCTTTGTATTTTCTATTGGTTAGATGCAAGTTACACATTCCACCAACACTCAAGTGGAGGGGATTAAACAAAGGCATAGACACATCAAGGTGAGAAACATTAGAGTTTTTTCATCATATAGTCTAAGTTGATTTTTTCTGAGAGTTATATGTCAATTATAACAATAAAATTAAAAAACAGAAATGGATGAAATATTTATTACTATGGAAATTTTTATTATTAATTACATATTATTATAATTTAATGTCATATTATCATTGATATATACTTCATATTATTTTATATTGTTATAATATTATGGAAAATAATCATTAAAAAATCTGGAGACAGATGCTGGAGAGGATGTGGAGAAATAGGAACAATTTTACACTGTTGGTGAGAGTGTAAATTAGTTCAACCATTGTGGAAGACAGTGTGGTGATTCCTCAAGGACCTGGACATAGAAATTCCATTTGACCCAGCAATCCCATTACTGGGTGTATAGCCAAAGGATTATAAATTGTTCTACTATACGGACACATGCACACGAATGTTCATTGCAGCACTGTTTACGATAGCAAAGACCTGGAACCAACCCAAATGCCCATCGATGATAGACTGGACAGGGAAAATGTGGCACATAGACACCATGGAATACTATGTAGCCATCAAAAATGAAGAGTTTGTGTCCTTTGTAGGGACATGGATGAGCCTGGAAACCATCATTCTCAGCAAACTGACACAAGAACAGAAAATCAAACACTGCATGTTCTCACTCATAGGTGGGTGTTGAACAATGAGAACACATGGACACAGGGAGGGGAGCATCACACACTGGGGTCTGTCGGGGGGAAATAGGGGAAGGACAGCAGGGGGTGGAGAGTTGGGGAGTGATAGCATGGGGAGAAATGCCAGATACAGGTGATGGGGAGGAAGGCAGCACATCACACTGCCATGTGTGTACCTATTCAACAATCTTGCATGTTCTTTACATGTACCCCAAAACCTAAAATGCAATAAAAAAAAGAAAAAGAAAATAATAGAAAAATAAGATGGCTATTATCAACTGGTGAACTTAGGACAAAACGACAATCTTATAATAAGAGATGTTACATGGAAAAGGAATTAAACTTTTGTAGCTTCATGGGTAGAATTAAGGTTACCCTTTCAAATATATAAAGAAGGAGATATTTTAACTTTAAAAAAGATCAGAATGGTTTAAATAACTAGAAACACAGATATTGCTCTTACTTTAAGGAAAGTTTCTGGTTTCTGATAGTACATAAGGATCACTATTTTTAGTTCTGTTCTTTGTAAAATTATGTATTAGTTATACATTGCAGTCATCACTATAATATTTTGAAATATTTGCTAGATATTTTTTGCCTGCTATTCCCATTTTTTCATTGCCACTTTCTTCATTTAGTAACTGGGTCATCCTGTATTTGTTGCTATGGGAAAGAAGTATAGAACAGAGAAAAACATATGCTTTTCTAGATCTTGAGTTTTAAACTTTAGGCCTTGCAAGGAATGAAAAGGATTCTGGTAAAGATAATACACTTGTAAAAATACTTGGATTGTTAGAAAAACATGGATTCCTGTACTTAAGATAAAGGTCATTCCTGCTGTAGAGGAGGGAGAATTAGGCCAGGAGTTGTGAGAAGAGTTTAGCTGTCAGTAACTTGCTGACACTGACTATTCCCTGAGCTCACACTCCACCAGAATAAGTGGAGAGGGATGTGGCAGTGGGGAACTGTCTGCCCTGTCCTGGACAAAGTGGGTGCCAGCCTTAAGAGTAGCTATGGCTGCCCGGTTTGTCTAGGCAGAAGAGCAAAAAGTCACCCCACAGCACCCCTCTGAGCTCTGTGATAATTACCAGAATCAAGATGAAGTCACTAGTGTGTTTTTTTTTTTTTTTGGTTTGGTTTTATTTTTAAGGAAAAAAAAAAGTTTGGCTTCTTTTAGAAAGGGTTCTCATACTTCTATATGTGATAACAAAAGTATCAGAAAAACTCTGTGTATTAGTCTGTTTTCATATTGCTATAAAAAACTGCCTGATACTGGAGAATTATAAAGGCAAGGGGTTTAATTGACTCACAGTTCCACATGGCTGTGAAGGCCTCAGGAAACTTACAATCATGCCTCATGGTAAAGGAGAAGCAAGGCACCTTCATGAGGTGGCAGGAAGAAGTGCTGAGTGAAGGGGGTAAAGCCCCTTATAAAGCCATTAGATCTCTAGAGAACTCACTATCACAAGAAGAGCATGGAGGAATCTGCTCTCATGATTCAATTACCTCCACCTGGTCTCTCACTTGACTCGTGGAGATTATGGGGATTATGAGGATTATAATTTAAGATGAAATTGGGTACGAACACAAAGCCTAACCATGCCACTCTGCAAAAAACACAAGCTTGCACAAAGGCCGTCACAACCTTACACAGCAAAATACTTCTGCAAGGACATCTTCTCAGCAATTGCCTGTTCAATCTTAAACTGGGATCACCCTTGTTATTGATTTTGGAGTCAAAGATTATTATCTCAAACAATTATGTAATCCTCATTCTTTTCTTTAAAAATGTCTTTATTTACCTTTCTGAATATTCATATAATTACTATGTCATGTGTATTCTCATTGCAATCTTCTACCCTGAACCAAGTTTTTTTTTAATTTTAGAGAGCCTCTCTTTCTTTATTATGTAGGTTGACATAAATGGTGTCAGAAATGGGACTTGTAGTAAGATCACTATCAGAAGGAAAACAGGTGGCTCTTGGGACTGATATACAGTACTCACTTGAGCCCCTTAAGGGCTCTTCTGCTTCCGTGGCTCACCTTTTCTGTCCTGGTTAGTATTTTCTCACGCTGAGCCTCTCTTTTTTTGGTAGAAGTTTTTTGACATTATTTGGGATCTGGTTTGGATATAAGGTTATCTTAAATAAAGAATCTTACATCCCTTCCGGGATGATAAAATACTTTTTTTTCCTATCTGTTAATTTCTTTCTGGTGTAAAACCAAGTGTCTTTTGGGTCAAGTATTCTGGTTTCTACAGAATTTACATTCTGTCTAAAAGGCATGTCTTTTCTAGTGAATTTATTTTGTTGAACTGCACACCTCATATAAAATTTTTGTGAACACTCTTCTGGTTTCTTTTGATTTGGTTTGACTCTTCTCATGCTTGTTTCTGAAAATCTTCTAATAACAAAAAATAAACATTCTAAATGATAGAGGAAGTATGGCTAATTAAAAGCAACCGGGTGGTTGCCACCATCTGAAACACTGGTGAAAACTCCTGACACTCTCTGAAAGAATTTGTTGAATTTCCTTGGCTCTGGAGAGATTAATAAGAAACAAAATGGGATTCTCAAACATTACTCTGTGCCAGGTTTCCCGGGATTCTAGTCAGCTATATATGATGTCCTGTTCTTGTGCACAGTTCTTAAACTAAAGGGCAAATTACATTAAGGAAAATTCAGAGCTTAAATGGCCTTGACTTGAACTCTTTGAAAAACCTGCAACTATAGAGTTAACATGTAGAGCCCTCTTAGTTCTCTAGCTCTCTCTATTTTTCTCTTCTGCCTACTTTAAGTCTGCTAACTCTTCTACTGGTGTTGAGATAAAACTTATTATTTATGGCATTCCAGCAAAGATAAAAGTCTTAAAGGGCTTTCAAGTTAATGGATTTACAGATTACAACGGCTCCATCAAAATAGTAAAATGAAAATATAAATATTTTCAGAATTGTAAACATACATTTTTGCCTGGATTTACTAGCTAATAGTTTTATATTTGTGTTTTCTAGATAATTTAAGGTGTCAGGATTTGACATAAAGATTATAAAGCTATAAACTCAACCTAAAACAGAATAATCTTTGTATAATTCTTTGACATATAAGATTAATCTAACTTTGTTGGCTTAATAAAAATAGCTGTTATTTTCTGAGTTGTTGACAAAATACCCATATATTTAACTTAAGTTTCTGACTTAGGTAAACACCTGATATTCATAGGATATAAATTCGTTAACAGGGAAATAACTTGAAATGATGAGTAGCTTTTTCTAATATCTCAATTTTCATAAGTAATCTAGGTAAACTGTTAAATATTAAATAAATTAGGTACATGTAAATGTGATAATTATCAATCAGCTTTTCATGTAATTTGAAATCTTAAATTTATCTTATATTTCTGTTCAGTAATTTCAGTTTTTTTAACGCTATTTGGAAATAATTCAGACATTTAATTAGTATCTATTATTTAATTTAATATAAGTTTGTTCTAGGTTTCTCAAACTTTATACAAAAGCTAAATATATTTGGGTTATTAATGTGCATAAAATTTTTGTTATAGGGAAACATGTATTTTTAAATTATCAAATGGTTCTTATCTCTGAAATACTGATATGTGAGAGTTCACAATTGCTTGCTAAAAATTAAGGTTGCTAAGGGTTAAAATTCTCATTTGCATATATATGTAAACACACACATACAAACATACATACATTTATGTATAATTCTATATATAAGATATACCAAAAAAGAATTTTTTAATGAGTCAAATTATAATAAGCACATAAAAACTCCTGTTTTTAAGAAGGAATGATTTTGTCTAATTTGGAGGTTATTTAAAGGTCATTTCAAAATATGAGTTTAAGAAGGAAATAGAAACAAGACTCAAAGGAACCAGGAGTAGAAGGGAGAGACCTAAATAAAGTTATGAGTGTGAAAGTGAATTTTTGGTAATAAAGGTTTAAAAGAAAACAGAATAATTTTATATGACAGATACTTCCATGTGGTAAATTTTTTTCTAAACTAAGATGACTGGTTATTTAGCAAGAGGAAGTAAAGAATGCAGAAATTCCAGGCATGTCATAAATGGTCTGAGCAAGTAGTGATAATGTTTGTGAGGTAGAAATTTATAAAAGTAATTATGTGCATGATTAAGTTGCTATAACTAGAAGGAAATTATTATAAGTATTTCTAAAGATTGAGTTTTGATATTAAAAATACACTAAAACAAAACTAAAAATTTGGTTCCTTATGTTCAAACAAGGTTTTCTTAAAGTATTGATTTATTCTTAGCAAAATTGCAAAAGATATTGATTTTTAATTCTGAAATCTGTTTCTTTAACAGACATCTTCTAAACTGTTGACAGTTTCTATTTCTGCCACATTTATTCCTGAGATCCACCAAATTTTCCTTGTTTCAGGGTGGAAATGCTGTCTTTTCATTCAGAATGGTAATTTCATTTCGTGAGGTAAAATTTTCCTTTTCCAAGCTTCTCAGATTTTTATCTCAGAGTTTCAACTCTGCTGTATCTCACTTCACATGATTTGCAGGTCATGCATCATTTCCTTTAGCTATCCTCTTTCTTCCCTAGAATAGCAGATAGATATAGAGAGCTAGAGCTAGAGAGAGAGAGAGAGAGAGAAAGAGAGAGAGAGAAATAGAGATGATATAGATATTTGTTTGACTGGGGTGATAACTCTCTTCTTCAGCCTTTTCATCATCTCCTATAATTTTTTTCCCAGTTCCAACTCTGCTGTTATGGCCTGATGCTGAAATCATTATTTGGAAGACCTGGAAAAGCAATGTCTTTCCTCAGTATAAGTCGCTTCCATATTCATAGCTTTCATGATGTGTCTGAATTCTTTGGTGTAGCCAGTAATCTTGACATGCTTTTACTTCTTTCTAAGAGCCATGTATTCCCCTGCTCAACATACTAGCTTTCTTGTTTACTTCCTCTCTAATATAGTGTATACTCACAACTTTGGGCATGTTTTCTTCTTGTCTGATTAAATTCAAGTACTCTTTTTAGCAGGTTCAACTTCCAGGTTGTCTAAATGGGCTTCCCATTAGGAGAAACAATTCCATTAAGCGAGGTTTCTCTTTATTTTTTTGGCAACTGGCTTACAAAAATAGGATTTGTGTTTTATTAAGATAATTTCCTCTGTTGTCTTCATTAGGTTTTTGATTACTTAGAAAAACTGATCTTTTAAAAGGCTACAGATTTTAAATCCATGTAACTTTATGTATTACTTTGGAAGTTGATATGGTTTGGGTGTAGGTTGCTTCCAAATCAATGTGATCCTCAATGTTGAAGGTAAGGCCTAGTGAGTGATATTAGATCATGGGGCAGATCCTTCATTAATGGCTTAGTGTCACTCCCTTGTTAATAACCAAGTTATTGCTCAGTTAGTTCATGTGAGATCTGGTTACTTAAAGAGTCTAGGACCTCTCCCTTCTCTTTTTGGCTTCCTTTATCGCCAGATAATATGCTGGTTCCCTCGTCATCTTCCACCATGATTGTAACCTTCCTGAGGCCCTTACCAGAAGCAGATGCCACCACCACATTTCTTGAACAGCCTACAGAAACATGGTCTAAAATAAACCTCTTTTCTTTATAAATTATGCAGCCTCAGGTATTTCTTTAGAGAAACACAAGTACGGACTAACACAAAAACTTGGCACCAAGGACTATGGCATTGCTACAAAGATACCTGAGATGTGGAAATGGCTTTGGAACTGGCTAATAGTCAGAGGTTAGAATCGTTTGGAGGGCTCAGGAGAAGGCAGGAAGATAAGGAAAAGTTTGGAACATCTTAGAGACTGGTTAAATTGTTGTGACCAAAATCCTGGTAGAAATGGAGACAGCAAAGGTCAGGCTGATGAGGTCTCAGATGAAAATGAAAAAGTTATTGGGAACTGGAATAAAGGTAACTTGTGTTATACCTTAGCAAAGAGCTTGGCTGCATTCCATTTATGTCCTAGAAATCTGTGGAAGTTTGAACTTAATAGTGATGACTTAGGATATCTGGCAATTTAGAAGAAATTTCCATGTAGCAAAGCATTCAAGAGGTCACAATCAGATATGGGAGCAAAGAAATTACTTAAAGTCGAAGTTTATAATTAAAAGGGAAGTATAGCCTAAAAGTTTGGAAAATCAGCAGGCTGGCATTGTGGTAAAGAGCATTTTCAGGAGAGTAATACAAGTGAACTGCAGAGTAACCACTTTCTAAAGACATTAGCATGACTAAAAGGGAGCCAAGTGTTAATTTCCAAGAAAATGGGGACAAGGCCTCGAAGGCATTTCAGAGATCTTCAAGGAAGCCCCTTCTTTCATAGACCCAGAGGTCTAGGAGAAATGGATGATTTAGTGGGCCAGGCTCAGAGCACTGCTGCTCTGCTCAGTCTCAGGACACTGCTCCTTGCAACCCAGCAACTGTGGCTCCAGCCTGGGCTCTGCAGGCCCCAGATACAGATTGGGCTGCTGCTTCTAGAGCACAAGCATCTGAAAACCTTGATGGCTTCCACTTGGTGTTAAGCCTACAGGCACACGGAATGCAAGAATAAGGGAGGCTTCAGTGCTTCCAACTAGATTTAGGAAGATGTATCAGAAAACCTGAGTGCTCAGACAGAAGTCTACCACCGTAACAGAGTCCCTGCAAAGATTCTCTACTAGGGAAGTGGCAAGAAAACATGTAGGACTGAAGTCTCTAAATAGAGCACCCACTGGGTCACTGGCTAGGAGAGCTGTGGGAAGGGGGTCATCACCCTGCAGCCCCAAACATGGTAGAACCAGAAGCAGCTTGCCCCCTTAGCCTGGTAAAACAGTAGGCACTCAACTCCAACTGGTGAAGGCAGCCACAGAGGCTACACCCTGCAAAGCTAAAGGGCAGAGTTTGCCCCAAGCTGCCCAAGGCCTTGTGAGCCTACCTCTTGTATCACTATCTCAAAATGTGGGACATGGAGTTAAGAGAGATTATTTCGGAGCTTTAAAGTTTAATGTCTGCCCTGCTGGGTTTTAGACTGGTGTGGGGCCTGTTGGCCATTTCTTTTGGCTTATTTCCCCCATTTGGAATGGAAATTCTTACCCAATGCCTATATCACCATTGTATCTTGGAAGTAAAGTAATTTATTTTTGATTTTATAGTTTCATAGGTAGAAGGAATTTGTCTTGAATCTCAGATGAGACTTTGAACTTTGGACTTTTGAGTGGATGCTGGAACTTTTTAACACTTTTGGGGACTATTGGAAATGGAAGTTTGTATTTTATAGTTTAAGAACATGAGATTTGGGGAGCTAGAGGTGGAATGATATGGTTTGAATGTATGTTCCCTCTAAATCATCTTAAAATGTGATGCCCAATGTTGGAGGTGGGACCTAGTGGGAGGTGTTGAATCATCTTTTGATCGATCCCCTTGGAGTTGAGTGAGTTATCTCTCAGGTCATGCAAGATCTGCTTCCTTTAAAGAGTCTAGAACCTCCTCCTTCTTTCTTTGCTTCTTCTCTTACCATGTGATACAGTATCACATATCTGATACAACACACATATCTGATAACTTTAAGATCGATGCACTAAAAACATTTTCCCAGACTCTAATAAAAAAAAGAATTTAGAAAACTAATGATGATCAAGCAAATAAAAAATTAATCACATGAAATTCAGTAACTTTTGAAAATAATGTTATGACCTTTTTTGAAGAATTGTTGGCGATTTACTTAAATGTTTTATTTTCCAGATTTAAGAAAATTTTCCTTCTTAAGTGATCTATAGTTTATAACAATTTGGCAAATTGTGTGAACAAAGATGGAAGCATTTACTTTTTCTCCCTACTTGATTCTCCCAAAATTCAGAAACTATTCATGAGTATTCTTATTTCTATTACAATTACCAGATCCCCTTTCAGCTGCCATTATTGTAAGTTTTGTAAGGCCCTCACCAGAAGCAGATGCTGGTAACATGAACCTCTTTTCTTTATAAATTAGCCGGCCTCAGGTTTTTTTTTTTTTTTTTTTTTTTGGAGTAATGCTGCAATGGACTAACACAGAAATTGTTTGATTATTACTTTGCTTAAATGAATACATATTGTAGAGTGACATGCCATTCTGTTTTGAACAAATGATTTGAAACTTTGACATCTTTTACAGGTTTCCCTGGGATCAAAATTCTGAATTAAGTCTTTTTGGCCTAAAATTAATTGAGATTTTCCAATTGGGCCCCTAATGAGCTTTAAAGAATGTATATCCTACAGAAATATTAAATGATTAAGCTTACCTGGTAAATTGTATAGGAAGCATTGTCAAATGATAAGTTATGCTAGATATTCTTCCAGTTACATTTATGGGTATGTTATTGATATAAATCTTTCAAAAATGATATCAATATATAGAAATCTAATAAGTTATGAGGCATTATTTGGTTACATTAAATCTTTCCTAAAGTTATATTTTTATGAGTATTTTATTTATGTGAGTATTCTTTTTTTTTTTTTTTTTTTTTTTTTGAGACAGAGTTTCACTCTTATTACCCAGGCTGGAGTGCAATGGCGCGATCTCGGCTCACCGCAACCTCCGCCTCCTAGGTTCAGGCAATTCTCCTGCCTCAGCCTCCTGAGTAGCTGGGATTACAGGTATGCGCCACCATGCCCAGCTAATTTTTTTTTGTATTTTTAGTAGAGACGGGGTTTCACCATGTTGACCAGGATGGTCTCGATCTCTTGACCTCGTGATCCACCCGCCTCGGCCTCCCAAAGTGCTGGGATTACAGGCTTGAGCCACCGCGCCCGGCCTTATGTGAGTATTCTAATAATTACATAAAATTTGTAAAAGTGTTGGTTTTAATATGATGCTATCAGTCATAACTCTGGTTATCTTAAATGCTGTATTTAATAGAAACAACTCACTTTTTTTGTCAATCATCAGATTTTTAACCATGGCTATTCTAAGTTTTTCTCATCCAGAGTTATTGGTTTGAATTCTTCTTTAAAAGCATTTTGAAAACTATACTCCAAAATTGTTTCATGAAAAAGACTCTAACAAGTACTTTGTGAACACACATATTTGATAACTTTAAGATCGATGCACTAAAAACATTTGTCCAGACTCTAATAAAAAATGAATTTATAAAACTAATGAAGATCAAGCAAAATAAAAAATTAATCACATGAAATTCAGTAACTTTTGAAAATAATGTTATGACCTATTTTAAAGGATTGTTGGAGATTTACTTAAATGTTTCATTTTCCAGATTTAAGAAAATTTTCCTTCTTAAGTGATTTATAGTTTATAACAATTTGGTGAATTGTGTGAACAAAGATGGAAGCATTTACTTTTTCTCCCTACTTGATACCCCCAAAATTCAGAAACTATTCATGAGTATTCTTATTTTTATGACAATATGGTTATTTGCAGTAGTTCAACAAAAAATTGGATCCCCAGCCTCCACCTTCAACTTCCCCCATCACTGTAAGCCTCCTAAGGCCCTCACCAGAAGCTGATACTGGCCCATGTTACTTATACAGTTTGTAGACCTTGAGCCAAAATGAAGTCTCTCTCTTTATAGCAGGATATAATTGGTTACATTACTGAGGCTTTGACCGAAATAATATTTGAGAATATGCATAAAATGCCTGGCTTCAAGGAATTCCAGCCTTACAGTGAGTTTGAAAAAAAAAAATGTTACTTGCTGGCAGATCGAAGAATCTCAAGACTGTAAGTACAATCTAAAGTCAATCTTGGTTTGGCCTCCTGTCTCAAGAGGTTTTAAAATCTGGGATTCCTTTGTAATCAATGCAGAGAGAAAAAAGTATGTTTCTAAAAGAAAAACTATAATACAACCTATTAGATTGCAACCCTATGCATTGTTTTCAATTTCTTGTTATCTACCTGGAGACTAGAGTAGATCCTAAATTCTCCCAATTTTATTCAATATTTGGCTACAACTGACCAACTAAAATAAAAATTTCTCTTTTCCTGAAGCTCTAGCTGAAACTAGATGCATTTTAAGAAATAAAGTTTGTGCCTGATGTTTGAGCTGCACAGAAAGTTTGCTAAACTCCTGGACGCAGGAGAAGGTGGCATTTTTACACTGTGGAAAGTTCTTCCCGAAGCATCAGAACAAGATTGTGTATCATAATGAGATTCTTACTCCTCTTCAGGCCTACCTTTTTATTTAGCAGGAATAATGGTGTATGTAATGAAATTTCACAGCCAGCAGCTTCTTCTGGTAACTTAACAG